CCCTGCCCCCCCGAGAGGGACCTGCCCCCCAAGAGGGACCTGCCCCCCGAGAGAGACCTGCCCCCCGAGAGGGACCTGCCCCCCGAGAGAGACCTGCCCCCTGAGAGGGGCTCACCAGGCTCACCCAGTGGGCCAGGCCCCGTGTGCCTTCACTCAACAGGAGCTGCCAGGAGGGTCCCTGCCCGTGAGCTGCAGCGGGGCAGGTGGCAGGTTCTGACCCAGAGCTCTGTTATGGGGGCGCTGGGCTGTGTCCCCGTTTTGTGCACAGGGAAACCAGGGCCCGAAGATATTGCCTGACCCAGAGCAGCCAGCAGGGAATTGGGGGCCATCCTGCTCCCTGGGGAGGAGGCGGCTAATGGGGAGGCTGAGTCTGGCCAGGGGGCTCCCCGGGGTCACCCTCACCCCCTAGTGATCCCGGCAGCACCCAGCAGAGGGCGCACAGAGGAGACCCCGTGCTCACGATGGGCTGGCCGGCCTCTGGAGTGCCCTCCGCCCGCACCTGCCTGTGGACGCCCCGCCCAGGTGTCTGGCACCGGGCAGAGCTGGGGTCGGGGCCACATTAGCCCAAGATCACCCCCTCCCCACCCACACGCCCCAAACCCTGAGACCCACAGGAGAACAGCAACCCCGACGCCACGTGGAACACGCTGCCAGGACGGGGGGCTCAGGGCCGAGTCCAGTGGGGAGCTGCCCAGATCCCGGGGGGGCGGGCAGATGCCCGGATCTCGGGGAGCAGAGTCAGTGCGCCTGTCTCCCAGCTGAACCTCACAAACGACTCGACCCCCCACCAGCCGCCAGGGGGATGCTGCGGGCCCATTGTGTGCCCGCACTGACGTCACTTACAGCTTCCAACAATAACCCCAGACTGGGCCCCACAGCCCCACTACACGGACGGGGAAACCGAGGCACAGGCAGGCTCTGTCACTGTCAGGACGCCCCTGGCTCCGCCGCCTCCCCAGGTCCCTGTGACATTCAGGACAGATGTGGGGGGGGGGCCTCCCACGCTCACAGCCAGGCCCTCAGGGGGCAGGGAGGTGGGGTGAAGGCTCGGGAGGGGCGGGGGGCGGAGCAGCGGGGGGCCCAGCCTCCGCGGGAAGCGCTGTGTCTGTCGGTGACGGAGGCATTGTCTCTGGGTGAAAGCGGGGCATTGTCTGCGCCACTGAGGCTCCGGCTGGAGGCGGGCGGTATGGGGAGGGGCCAGAAGCCGCTGTTCCCAGGGTCACCCACGCTGGCAGGGGCCTCTGGGAACCTGGGCAGGGACTGCCCACATGGCCTTGGTGAGGTGGGATGGGGAGTGCCGGCTGGCACCTGACCGAATGGGCCCACCTGGAGCCAGTCCCCTGGCCACACCCTCGCTCCCTGAGAGTAGGTCCTGCCTGGTCTGTGAGAGCCGTGCAGTGACGAGGGAGGCGGGGTGGCCGCGTGCTCCCCCCTGGGCTGGCATCGCCGCCACCGTGGGCCTGCCGTCAAAGCCCAGCCAACAGAACTCCTGTCCTGGAACAGAGGTGCCCTCAGGTGCCCTCGCCCACCTGCCACCAGCACAGGCCCTGCACCCCCGGTTCCCATGTGTTTCACGCTTGGGACGCGCTTGAAGGCTGCTGGCCGGGCTGTCCAGTGTCCCTCAGGCTGTTTCTGTTTCTGTGCATGTTGTCAGCGTCGGATGGTGACGCCCGTGGTGGAGACTCCGTGGTGCTGACTCCGTGGCAGTGAGGCTGTGGTGGTGAGGCCGTGGTGGAGACTCCGTGGTGGAGACTCCATGGTGGTGACTCCGTGGTGGTGACTCCGTGGTGGAGACTCCGTGGCGGAGACTCCATGGTGGAGACTCCGTGGTGATGACTCCGTGGTGGTGACTCCGTGGCGGAGACTCCGTGGTGGTGAGGCCATGGTGGAGACTCCGTGGTGGAGACTCCGTGGTGGTGACTCTGTGGCAGAGACTCCGTGGCGGAGACTCCGTGGTGGAGACTCCGTGGTGGTGACTCCGTGGCGGTGACTCCGTGGTGGAGACTCCGTGGTGGAGACTCCATGGCGGAGACTGTGTGGTGGTGACTCTGTGGCAGAGACTCCGTGGTGGAGACTCCGTGGTGGTGACTCCGTGGCGGTGACTCCGTGGCGGAGACTCCGTGGTGGTGAGGCTGTGGTGACGTGTGAGGTCGAGCTGGTCACCCAGGAAGGGGGTCTGCTGGGAGTCAGTACCTTTCTCTGTCCTCAGCGTTGGGACCACACCCTTGGAGGCCAGTGTCCACGCAGGTCTTGTCCACGAGGGGCTCCTGGCTCCACGCAGCCTCCTCGTCTGCATTTCTCCGCACTCGTTACTGGTTTCTGATGTGAGAATGCGTGTGCCCCCCCTCCCCCCCGTTCACCCGTCTGTCTTGTGGACCACGGACATTTATGTCGTTATTCATCTCGTCGTCGGTCAGACTGTCCACTCCGGCCACCAGGAGCCTCTCCGGCCGTAGGACTGCCCCTGCGATGCCCGGGGCGAGCGAGGCTCCTCAGACGAGGACGCGGCAGCCTGTGAGCCGGGCACTTCCCCTTCTCCCCCGGGGACTCCGCCTTCCCGTGAGCGCCTCCGTGAGAAAGTGTGCAAATCTGGTGGCGAGTCCAGAGGCCAGGCAGGAAGTGCCCCCGGGAATCCCAGCTCCTCACAGGGCGGGGGGAGCCCTCACAGACCAGACCCAGGACTGGGCTGGGGTCCAGGGCCGTCACCCCTCCCGCAGGGGGCTCATCTCTCGGCGCGCCCTCCAGGCCTGCACACGGGCAGTGGTGAGGCAGGAGGAGAAGGGGAGGAAGGCTGGGGGGCGGGGCTGGAGGCGCTGGGGGTTGCCCCCTCATCCAGCTGAGTGCTGGGCAGCATTCGGGTCTGAGGCCCTGGCCGGCCAGGCGGTCCAGGCTGCGGGGGCTGGACACCCCTGATGCTGCTGTCATCCTGGCCGGAGGCCCGAGCGTGGGGAGGCACGGGGGTGACAGGAGGAGAGGGGAGGCCTCTGCCATGAGCAGGTGAGTTTAGAGGCTGTTTGGGTGGGACCCAGGCACAGGGCCACGGCTGGGGGTCCTCTGTGTGTGTGTGTCTCTCT